GGAGTTTTTCCTTTCAATGCTATCTGAAACACAAAGTCAGGATTATTGAGCATGGAAAATACTAAAGTACAGATGAAGTTCTGGAGAGGGGCTGAGGCCTCTGAGATGAGGTCATTCAGTAAAGGGCCGGACTCTAGGCAGAGGGTTGTCACAGCTTCTGTGGGATGGCTATCTGAGGAGTGTGGGCTATAGGAGTTTGGGTCTGTTTTCTGGGCTGATAGGGACCCACTCAGCAGTGAACTTGTCCTTTGGTGCTTGGAGGCAGGGCTTGTCCTCTTGGGGCAGGGACACTTGAGGTATGCATTCTCACTGGATCATCAAGGGTTCCCAGCTGTGAAGGAGATATATTTGAAATGTGCAGGAATAAACACAGTGCACTAGGATGGAAGTCCCTGCAGAAACTGTGTTCTAAACAAGTGCTTCTGGAGTGAGGGGATTCTAGTCAGCGTCCCGGTGAATGAGTACTCCCAGGGTGAGGGGGCATACCGATTGGCTTGTGTTGGTGAATGAGTGCTCCTCGTGATTGTTTTCTGTTTGTTTGCCAAAAATGTGTTGGCTACAGATGTGTGAGTTCATTTCTGGGATTTGTTCTGTTTCATTTATCTTCGTGTCTGTTTTGATTGTAACTACCTTGTAGTACATCTAGAAGTCTGATATTGTGCTGCCTTCAGATTTGTTTTTGTTGTTGAAGATTTCTTTAGCTATCTGGGCCCTCTTGTGTTTCCATGTGAATTTCAGCATTATTTCTCTAGATTGTAGAAGAATGTCATGGATATTTTGATTTGGATCACATTGAATTTATAAATTGCTTTTGATAATAAAAATATTTTCGGTATCCTACTGATATATGAACAAACATTCAAGATTTTTCCATTTGGGGGATATTTTATTATTTCTTTCTTTCATGCTTTGTAATTATCATAGAGTCAACACATCTTTGGTAAAATTTATTAAAAATTATTGAAATGTTTTTTGCAACTATTGTGAATGTGATTTTACAACTTCTTTGTAAGCCGTGCAATTGTTATACATACAAAGGCTTTTACTTTTGTGTGTTGATTTTATATCTATAGCTTTACCAAACTGTCATGAGTTCCAACAATCAGTGGGCAGTCTTTCGGTTGCATAAATAGAGGTTCATGTCATCTGCAAACAGATAGTGTAACTTCCTTACTGTCCAATTTGTATCTCCCTCCTCACTTTCTGTCCCCCAATCATTCTGGCTAAAACTTCCAGGACTCCACCGGACAGCAGTGGTGACAGTGGGCATGCATGTCTGGTTCCAGACCGTAGGGGAATGCCTCCAACTCTGCCCCTCCAATATGTTGCTGGCTATGGGTTTTTCACAAATTTCCTTGACTGTATTATAGAGTGTTTCTTCTATGACTTGCTTAAAGTTTTCATCATGAAAGGATGTTATCTTTCTCAGATGCTTTCTCTGCATCTTTTGAGATAATCATGGTTTTAATTCTTTGGTTGTTTAGCATGCTATATTATTTGATGTGTGTATGTTGATCCATCCTTGCATACCAGAAATAAAATCCCACTTGATCTGGGTGGATGTTTCTGATGTGTTTTGGGATTCAGTTAGCTAGTGTTTTCTTGAGGGTTTTTGCATCTGTCTTCATTAGGGGTACTGGTTTGTGGTTCTCTTTGTATATTTTCCTGGCTTTGGAATTAAGGTAATTCTGGCTTAAATAAGGAATTTGGGGAGATTACCTCCTATTAATTACTTTGAATAGTTTGTGAAAAATTGGAATTGGCTATTAAAGTGTGGTGGAATTGAACAATGAAGCCGTCTGGTCCTGGATTTTCTTTGTTGGGAGAGTGTTTTACTGATTTACTCTGTTAGTTATTGGCATATTTACGTCGTCATGGCTCCACATAAGTAGACTGTACGTGTTCAGTGTATGCCTCCAGAAGCCTATCCATTGTGTCTGAATTTTCCAATGTGCTGGCATTTAGCAGTTTGCAGCAATTCCTGATAAGTTAAATATCTGTAGTGTTTATGGATATATTTTTCTCTTATGATTTTCTCCTTTCTGATTTTACTGACTTGGGTCTTCTCTGTTGGTTGGACTAATGGTCTATCAACTCACTGAGGTTATTTTTTTGTTTCAATCTTGTTTTTATTTCATTTTAATTTTTTGGGGGGGGCCTTGAGCTGTGTTGATAGATCATTTATTTGATGCCAGACTTCTTGATAAAAGCACTAATTGCTCTAAACTTCCCTCTTAGTTCTGTTTTTGCTGCATCCCATATGTGCTGATATGTTTTGCTATCATCTTTATTTTGGGGAGTTTTTCTTTATGTGTTCTATAACCTACTGCTCATTCAGTTGTGTGTGTGTGTGTGTTCCCAGTCTGCATGTGTTTACGTGGTTTCCTGAATTTTTGCTTGTCAGTTACATTCCATGGTGATCAGAAAGGATCCATAGTATGATTTTAACTTTTGTTGAATTTGGTGAGGCTTGTTCCCTGGCTGACATGGGAGACTCAGAGGAGGCTCCTGGCTCCTGATCTGCTCAGTTCTAGCTGTTGCGGCCACTTGGGGAATGAACCAGGGAATGGAACATCTTTTTTTTTCTGCCTTTCCTTTTCTGTAAATCTGCCTTTTCAATAAAAATATTTTTTGACAGTATGATATTGAAGTCCCCTATTAATGGATTCTTTGTCTCCTTTTGTTGTTTTACATAGCTAGGTGCCCTGGTAGTAGGTGCAAATATTTGCTACAGTCATTTCTGGTTGAATTGATCTTTTAATCATTCTGCAATGAACTTCTTCATCTCTTATAGTGCTTTTTGTGTTAGTCTATTTTGTTAGGATGGCTACACCTGCTTGTTCTCTGTTAGCATGGAATATCTTTTTCTACTTTCCCTTTTAGTCTGTGTGCATGTTTGTTGGGGAGGTGTTTCTTGTAGGTAGCGAATAGGTGGGTTTTAATCCATTCAGCCAGTTTGTATGTTTTGGTTGAAAGTTTAGGCTACTTGCACTTGGGGTTAAATGGTAACAACCTGGGGTCTGGTTGTGTGGTAGCCTAGTGGCTAAAGTCCTCACCTTGCATGCCATGATCCCATATAGGCAGCATTTCATGTCCCAGCCACTCCACTTCCCATCCAGTTCCCTGCTGTGGCCTGGAAAAGCAGTTGGGGATGGCCCAGGGCCTTTGGTCCCTGCACCTGGGTAGGAGACCTGGAAGAAGCTCCTGGCTTCTGGATTTGGATCAGCTCAGCTATGGGTATTGCGGTCATTTGGAGAATGAACCAGTGGATGGAAGAGTGTTCTGTTGGTCTCTCCTTCCTTGTAGGTCTGCCTTTCCAATGAAAATAAATAAATCTTTAAAAAAAAAAAAGTGGACAATTTGGTCCCTCCAGTTTTCTATCAATATTCTCATTGTTTGCTTTGGATTTCCTTTCTGCCTTTACTAGTTTTCTAATATCACATTCTTTCAGTATGGTGATCATCATTCTCTTAGTGTGTGTACCACATCCTTAGGTATCATTTGTAGAGCTGGGCATGTAGTGGCAAATTCTTTCAATTTCTGATTGTTTGGGGAGATGTTTATTTCACCTTCGTGTCTAAATGGGAGCCCTGCTGGATGTTGTGCTTTAAGTTGGCAGTGTTCACAGGTTCTTGTCTTTGTGCAAGAATAAATTCAGCTTTCAGGCAATAGTGTTAAGCAAGGTACCTAGGTCTAATGTGGTAGGTACCCATCAGGATGGATGGGCTGGTTCCAGAAAGATCTGTGAGTGCCTGGCCATTTATATTAGGGTAAGCAGTTACACTGTTTAACAGAGAATATACCCGATGAACCAAACATCATGGCAAAAAGCTGAGAGAAATACACCTGATGAACCAGGTGAGAATCTTGGGGAGGAGCTGAACTGCAGTCTGCATTCAGAATGTGCTTATAAGGAAGTGCAGTCCAGGACTTCCAATTGTTTCTCTTCCCCCTGGACAAATGGTTTGTTTAGTGTAACTTGAGAAATTCCTCCCAAGGTTCTATGACCCATTCTTGTCTGGCAGGGTAACCCACTTGACATCAAGCAGAGAGGACTCCCTAGGGGTACCTTCCTTGGGAGAAAGGCTGGGACCTACAAAGTTACGGGGTACAGGTAGGACTTTGTAATATGAAATACTGGTCTGCTGCCAAGACAGCTAAAAGTGGCTGGTTCCTTTCTCAGGGGCTTCATTTTCCTCTGGTTCGCACACATAGGCTAATTTATATCTTCCTGCATAACTTTTCCATGTCTGTTAAAATTATCTTGAGACTTCTCACTCTTATGCTGCTCTGTTGGAAACACTGCTGCCACTGCAGTGGTCTGGGAAGGACAGAAAAGACACAGGATGTGGACTGGGTGCTGTGGGATGTGGACTGGGGGGCCGAGGGATGTGGACTCGGGGGCCGAGGGATGTGGACGGGGGGGGGCCGAGGGATGTGGACTCGGGGGCCGAGGGATGTGGACTCGGGGGGCCGAGGGATGTGGACTGGGGGGCCGAGGGATGTGGACTGGGGGGCCGAGGGATGTGGACTCGGGGGCCGAGGGATGTGGACTGGGGGGCTGAGGGATGTGGACTCGGGGGCCGAGGGATGTGGACTGGGAGTTACAGCCATTCAGGTAGCTTCCCACTAAGTGTCGCTCCATCTGCCCCTTCTCACCCCACTTGTTGATGTGGCTCTTCAGTGATTGTTTCAGGGCAGTTTTCCATGGTTGTCTCTTACAGATGTTCAACTTCTTTCCCTTCAGGCCTCTGCAAAGATCTGCCGAGGTCCTGGAAGGCCATCTTCCAGCTGCACCCTGCCATTTACAACCCTCAAACCTGCTCTACTATTCCAACTGTATCTTTGTGTCAATTTGCATTCAAGAGTTCCCACACTGATAAGGATGTCCTCTTTGATGAATGTGTATTTGACCTCAAGCTTAGCAGCAGTTTACATTTATGTAGCTCCTAGGGATGGTGTACTGAATGAAGAACATAAAGAAAACAATATGCCACATGTCAGCCTCTCAAAACATTTTTTTAATTTTCCATTTTGCCCACCAAGACCACAGTTGTGCATGGAAGTCTAACATTCCCAGCCAGGAGGTCATGGTGCACGACCACATGGATGGGGACAAAGGGTTTTCCTGACTTTTCCAGTGTCATCTCAGTCCTTGCATTGCTGCCCCTGTGACATTACTGGGGACCAGCATGCCAGGAACAGCCCCACCTGGTGGCTGCAAGAAGAAGTGTTGCGGCTGTCCTGTGCATTTAGCTGAACTGACCTGGGCTCCTCCTTAAGGAGACAAAAACCTAGGAACTCAAAAGGACAGTCAGTGAGCATCTAGAATCATCTGACCTCCAGTGGCATCTCAAGGGAGGTGAAAAGCTGTGTCACCGTTATTTTCTCCTGAAAACGGGTGGGAGGAGGACTGAGTGCAGGGCTGAGTCATTATTCTTCCATGTTGGTCACTAATTCTATGGTTTTGAAACAGCAAAAATAAAATAGAAAAGAAAAAAAAAACTTAGAATCCATGCACTAGCTACAGAACACCAAGTTCTTTCAGGGCTGGGATAACAGGAGTTTTCCCAATCTTTTAAGCCCCAAAGAGATTTTGCTGGACTAGGGAAAATTTGAGCCCACAGAGAAGCCATTTATTTGAAGTCAATTTCTTGATTTTGGCAAGAGAGACAAAAAGTAATGCACCTATTTATTTTATTAAGTTGTAAACTGACAAGGTTAAGGGAGCAAAACTCCTGTTGCATAACAGAACCCTAATAAGTGGTTTTTAGGCGGAGACTAAAATTTAGTGCCAGTTTGATTTCCAAGGATGGAATTTTATCTATGTTGGGCAATAGCAACAAACGAAGCCGGGGTTACCAATTCATCCATTCCTATTGCAGAGACCACCAACTGGACACAGCCCTTCCTTGTCTTGCTCTAGGTCTCTAGAAGCAGCTGTTAGTTCAACACATCCTTTAGGGTTCCCAAACTAAAAGGGGAAACATCCTTATGTCTTCTCGTCATCAGTAGAGAGAAAATTAAGTCAGCTCGGACTATGCCAAACAAGCTTGGAAAACAAGTGGGTCTGATGGAGCAAGTAGGAAGGGCCAGCCGTCCACCCGTGCTGCCATGTGCTTGGTTAGACTGTGGTGATTTTCTTGCCCTTGGTGGCTTGCTTGATGGCAGCCTGCTCACAGATGATCTCCTTGAGCCGCTGCAGCCGCATGTTCTGGGTCGTCTGGTCGCCCACTCCTGTCTGGCTGCGGTGCAGCAGGGTCAGCGCGTGGGTGTACTCGAGCTCCGTGTACTTCACACCCTGGTCCACCACCAGGTTCAGCAGCTCATCGGCCGTGTTGTACAGCATCTCGTAGTACTGCCTAGGGGAGCAAGAAGGGACACTGCTCAGCACCTCCATGGCCACCAACTGGAATTCTACCCTGGTTGCTGTGCTTATTTCAGAAATGTTCACTGCTCTAAGGTCCCACAAATCAACGCAGGAACAAAGACCCAGCTCCATCCTGACGGAGTTTACTGGGGCTCGCTTTGTAACAAGGCAGAAGACTGAAGACCGAGAAAGACCCCACATCTGTCAAGGGCTCAGACACTCTAGATTTTCTTCCTCATTTTGCACTGTCTGTGGGAAGCCACAGAAAGAGAAGTAGGGGTGGGGAACCCCGAAAGAGAACAATCATCTCGCAGGCATTGTCAAGAGTTTTGTTTCACTGAATCCCCTACTTACTCAATCATCCATTGGAAGCTTTGCAAAATACATTGCTTTCTCCTCTCTACAATGGGATACCTACTGTGCCTGCATCTTCAGGTTGTTAGAATTAAACTTACAAACACAAAAAACACTTGGTGCTTACTACTGTGCTAGGTATGTGCTGGGTACCTTCACTGCTAGAAATGTAATAGCAATGTATCGACAGTAATGTCATGGATGTTACATAGAATGCCGTGATAAAGATGAGGTCCCTTCCTCAAGGAGCTCACAGACAACTAGGAAAGGAAAGGAAAAGAAAGGCAGAGAAAAATAAGGGTAACGATGCACTGGGCTGCTTGGCTCTGCTGTGCACAGAGCTCTCTGTATTGTAAGAAAATAAAACACAAAGAAGTTAGCAAAGTCCTCTAACTTTGCCAGGAAGCAAACCATGATTCCTGACTTGAAGCCAGGTACTGTTTGTTCAGACACATAGCACTTTCAAGAATATCCCAGGTATCACAAATGAGGTTTAAGTGCCATGAATTTATAGCCAAGGTCAGAGACATCAAGTTTTAGATGGAAGGAAGAAAGCAAACAAAACCAAGGAAGAAGGATCTGGTTAGAATGAGCAGTGTAGGGGACAGTGGCAGGCGAAGGCAGAGTGCTTGAAACCTGGATCATGGAAGGAGAACTGAGTTAAGTGGACCCAAGGCACCTGTCCACCTCTAAGGCCCTGTTGACAGCAGAGGTACCACCTGAAGTTATGCTACTAGATGGTAAATGTGACAGCAGAACATAGAGGGATCTGGGAGGGAACTGGCTGTAATTTCAGCAAAAAGGAGGGGACTTGAGAGCCACTTGACTATGAAAAGTAATGCCTGTAACAAAATGTGGAACAGAGCAAATATGGGGCAGAGAAAAGATGAAAGTGGGAATCAGAAAAGGGAAAGGGTCACCATTGGCCATTCCTAAAACCAACATTAAACCACCGGAGGCCACAACTTCCACTGTCACGGTCATGTTGAGCATGAGCTGTGAGCCAGCTCTGCTCCTGCAGCTTTGCGGGGATGGCTGGCTCACTTCCTTCTCCCTTCCCACCACAAAAGGGAGCTTTGCCAGGATGCAGGGAACAGGACCAGACAGGGACTCCAGGCAGGATGCAGGGAACAGGACCAGACAGGGACTCCAGGCAATTGGATTCTACACATCATCAGTATCAGAAAATCCTACATTGTTGGGCTGAGGACTGCAGATTTGTCTCTTCTTCATCAAGAACATCCTATGGAAACACAAAGTCATCCTTGGGGTATGGGATACATTCTAGGACCTGCACAATTTCCAGAATAGTCGGTGAAATGCTACTTAAGTGGGAATGATCAAGTAGAGTTTTTGTGTCTGTTCTGCTAAGCTTCCTTTTCTAATTAATGTACTCTAATTAAACTTAGTTCCACTGGTTCACTTCATAAATGACTACAACAGTTGGGCTAGGCTAGACAAAAGCCTGATGGCACCTGTAACTCCATCTGGGCCTTACACGTGGGTGGCAGGGCCACAAGACTTTGGGCCATCTGCTGCTGCTTTCCAGAGCTCAACAGGAGGGAGCTGGATCAGAAGCAGAGCAGTGGGAACTTGAACTGGCATGCCCATATGTGATGTTGACTGACCCAACATCAAAAAATATGTAATAATGTTGAAACTGATATTAGGAATCTTGACAAAGATACTTCTGAATATGAATAGATGCATTTTACAAAAAAAAATGGGGCTGGCACTGCGGTGGGGCCGACTAGGCTGCTGCCTGCAACCCTGGCATCCCACCTGGCTGCCACATTCCTTATCCAGCTCCCTGCTAACACCTGTGAAGGCAGCAGAAAATGACTTAGGTATGTGGCTCTCTGCTCCCCATGTAGGAGACCCTGATGAAGCTCCTGAGTTTTGCCTGGCCTGGCCCCAGATGTTGTGGTCATTGGGGGGAATGAACCAGAAGATCGCTCCTCTCTGCCTTTTCTGCCTCTCACTCTGTAACTCTTCCAAAGAAACACATTTTAGGAAAAGATGGTTTAAAAGGATGAGTGGGTAAGTTGCGGGAGGGAGTTCTTCCATCTGCTGGTCAACTGTGAATGGCTGTAACAGCTGCCCTGAGCCAGGCTGAAGAAAGTTTCCTCCAGGTCTTCCATGTGGGTGTCAGGAGTACAAGCAATTGGGCCGTTGTTGTTGCCTACGAGGGTGTATTTTAGCAGGAAACTGGGCTGGAAGCAGAGCTGAGACTAGAACCTGGAGACTCAATGGGATGTCTCTGTCTCAAGAGGGGCACTAGAAGGCCCACCCTAGAAGTACTTCTCATAGAACAGGGAAATGAACTGTAATATCCAGGGGTTTAGGTGCCTAATAGCAGCTACAGTCAGGAACGTTTTTGAAGCTTCATGCTTAGTGTGAAGCCCATGTGAGCTTTCTTACCCTCCTCCTCAGTGTATCTTTTGGCATCTAGAATTGATGTTTTAAGAGAAAGGCTGATGTTGTAGGAAGAGGCATCATGCATGCCTTGGTGCACCATGCCTTCCTCCCTGATATGGTGGCTTTTTGGAGAAATGAGACGCAGTGTCACATTTCCCTTAGACAGGTGAGGGAGAATGCTACCTGTTTCGAGAATGGTCTAGGATATACTGCTGACGGAGGACCACCCATGTAAGCATCTAGACTGACCAGATGGAAGGAGAGAATCTGGGGATCATGATCCTTCCAAAGCTGAGAATTCTCGAGTGTAGTGAACTCACAAGCCCCATGTGGGGGTGCTGCTGGCCCCACCCACCGGGGTGCTGAACCCACTAAGTGTGCAGCAGAGTCAGGGTGGCAGGAAACTCACACAAGCCTCCCCATCCTTTACGCCTTCGGAGACACTGTGGAAGGTGACAGCACCGATAAATGGTTTCTGATGCTTTTCAATGAGATTAAACCAGAGGAATTGGGTTTCCTGGCATTATGATGTTGATATTTTCATCATTTATCTTAAGAAGCAACATTGAAGCCATCAGCTCAGGTGAAATTGGATTTCTTTTGAAAAATCAGATGAACCGTTTCCAGGGATACTGGCTGGTTTTCTGCAGACAGCTGTTCTGTGCTGGGAACTAACAACCAACCAAAGATGCTTCACTTTCTGGTCCTGGATCTTTCAGTGTGATAAGTGAAAAAGGGCATGCTGCTTAAGGCCTTTGTGTTTCAATATGCTCTGTACAGTGAAGACCTTTATAAATCCCCAAATGATGCATACAAGTGGCCTGGGAGACTGAAGCAGGCTGTAAGAGCCTTGGCTAAGCAGTGCTCCGGAACTGCAAAGCCGAGTTAGTCAACAAAATTGACAGGTAACTGATGGTGTATTTTCTATAGTCAGGGGGAAGAAATACCCCATAACCACGATGATGTATTAGATCATAAGGAAATATAAATATTTAAAGATAGAATGAAATTCATTTATCTTTCGGAATGATACCCAGTAGCAAAAATATTAAATTGGCATCTCAACGGTTAGAAGGTAGGAAAGAGTGCTGTAAGGGGCCCCAAAGAGAAAACAGGAAAATACCCCAAACCATACAATTAGCATGAGTTTCCATGAAAAACACTGACAGACTGAGATGAAATCATGAAGCCGATGGGGATAAATAATTGATCAGCCTTTATTGAGGCCCAGGAAAATGAAAGCCTGGTTTTTGTTATCAGGCAGGGCTACTGGGGCTGTGGCTTTTAGGGCATCCTGTTTGAGTCTGCGTTGGCACTCTGCTGCCCAGTGGGGGGGTCAGTGATACTTTTGAGCTCAGGATTTGCAGAGTGAGTTATTTCACTTAGGGTCTATCTGCTAGACTTGGACCACAGTTCATTTTCAGGAGCACAGAGAGCTCCCAGTGGCTCAGGGGGCTGGGACACAATATGAGGAGGCATTTCTGCAGACAGTGGCTACAAGGTCGGGAGCAGAGAGGGTGAGTGGCTGCAGGGCCAGAGAAGCAGAGGCCTGGCATGTTTTTGTCTCTCTCTCTCTCTCACACACACACAGTTGTCTCGTGATCACAGCCTGTAACAGCACAATGCTGACACTTTGTGTTCGCACAAACACATAATTTTATCTTAAGAACTGGCTGTACTTCTCAATGGATTTTTGTTTCCTTTTCAATGGTATCATGAGATGAGGTGCTGACTACCCTAAACCAGTAGAGAGAAGGATGTTTTCATGAAGGGAGGATAGACCTTGCAAGGTTTTCATAGTTTGTCTTTCTCTGATTGGGAAATTGACATATATGTCATAGAGAATCTATGGATCACACAGAATGATTATGGAGAAAAAGTAATGGCTCATGGAAGTCCATTATAGCCTGCATCTTGGTATATGTTCTTATGCTCCACCCCTTTCGTGGATTAAATAAATTTCCTTTTTTTGAAGATTTTTATTTTTATTGGAAAGGCAGATATACAGAGAGGCAGAGAAACAGAGAGCAAGATCTTCCAACCGATGGTTCACTCCGCAAGCAGCCACAACGGCTGGAGCTGAGCCAACCTGGAGCCAGGAGCCTCTTCCAGGTCTCTCATGTGGGTGCAGGGTCCGAAAGCTTTGGGCTATCCTCAACTGTTTTCCCAGGCCACAGGCAGGGAACTGGATGGGAAGTGGGGCCGCCGGGATTAGAACTG